TGTTCTTCTCAGAACTTTAGGGAAGTTCTTCTCAGAACTCATGGGAAGCTCATCCCAGAAATTTTTCCATGAACTTTAGGGACGTTTTTTGTAAGACTATAGAAAAATTTCCAAGAGTTTTAGGGAAGTTTTTTTTTCTCCAGAACTTAAAAAAAAAACTCCTCCCATATCTTCATAGAACATCAGAAAAGTTTTTCTCAGAAGATCAGTGAAATCTTCCCAGAAATTGAGGGAAGTTTTTCTCAAAACTTCTTTCCAGAACTTTATGGAACTTCTTCCCTGAATTTGAAGGATGTTCTTCCCAGTTCTTTTAGGAAGTTCCTCCCACAACCTCAAAAGGTCCTTCCAACAAGTTTAGGGAACTACCTTCCAGCGAAGTTCTTGCCAGAACTTGAGAAGAGGTTCTTCCCAGAATTTCAAAAAAAAAATCTTCAGAGAACTTTACGGAAGTTCTTCCCAAAACCTAAAAAAATTTGCCCACGACTTCAGGAATCTTCTTACCAAAAATTTAGGGAAACTCATCCCAGAACTTAAGGGAAGCTCATCCCTGAACATGAGGGAAATTCTTCTCAGAACTTTAGATATGTTCTTCCCAGAATATCAAGAAGTTTCTTCCCAAAACTTCAGGAAAGCTCTTCCCAAAACTTCCGAGAAGTTCTTCCCAGTACTTTAAGAATGTTCCTCCCAAAACATCAGAAAAGTCTTTCTCAGAACTACAGAAAAGTTCTGCCTAGAACTCCAGGGAAGTTTTTTCCAGAACTTCAGAGATGTTCTTCCCAAAACTTGAGAGATATTCTTCTCAGAACTTCAAAAAAGTTCTTCTCAGAACTTCAGAAATGCTCTTCCCAGAGTCCAGAGTCTTGTCAGATCTTCAGTAAAGTTCGTCAAAAAACTTCAGGGAAGTTTGTCCATGAACTTTAGGGACGTTATTTCCAAAACTATAGGGTAGTTCTTTCAAGTGCTTTAGGGAAGTTTCAAAACTTCCAGAAAAGTTTTTCTCAGAATTCCAGTAAAATCTTCCCAGAACTTGAGGGAAGTTTTTCTCAAAACTTCATAGAACTTCTTGCGAGAACTTAAGGGGATGGTCTTCCCAGTACTTTAGCAAAAATCGTCCAAGATCCTCAAAATAGTCCTTCCTACAAGTTCAGGGAACAACTTCCCACAATTCCATGGAAGTTCTTCCCAAAACTTGAGAAGAAGTTCTTCCCAGAATTTGTAAGAAATTCTTCAGAGAACTTTAAGGGAATATGTTCCAGAACTTCTGGAAAATTTTCCCATAACATCAGTGAAATTCTACCCAGATCCTAAGGGAAGTTCAGAACTTGAAAGAATTTTTTCTCAAAACTCCCAGAATGTCAAGGAAGTTCTTCCCAATATTTCAACGAAGTTCTCCCCAAACCATTAGGGATGGTCTTCCCAAAACTTCAAAAAAGTCCTTCATAGAACTCCAGATAAGTTTAATCCAGAACTTTAGTGAAGTTCTTCTCAGAACTCCAGAAATTCTCTTCCCAGAGCTCCAGGGAAGTTCTTTCTAGAATTGCAGTAAAGTTTGTCTTAAAATTGCAGGGACATTTTTGCATGAACTTTAGAGACGTATTTATTCCAAAATTATAGGAACTTTCTTCCAAAAGCTTTAGGGAAGTCTTCTTCAGAACTTAAGAAAAAATCTTCCCATATCTTCATAGATCTTCAGAAAAGTTTTTCGCAGAACTCCAGTAAAATCGTCACAGAACTCGAGGGAAGTTTTTCTCAAAGCTTCATGGAACTTTTTGCCAGATCTTTAGAGAACTTCAAGGATGGTCTTCCCAGTACTTTCGCGAAGATTTTCCCAGGTCCTCAAAATAGTCCTTCCTACAAGTTTAGGGGAAAACAAGCCACAATTCCAGGGACTTGAGAAGCAATTCTTCCCAGAACTTTAAACAAAATTTGCAGAGAACTTTAAGGGAGTTTTCCCAGAAGTTTTGAAAAAAAATTCCATAGCATCAGGGAAATTCTTCCCAGAAATTAAGAGAAGCTCATCCCAGAACTTAACGGAAGATAACCTCAGAACTTGAGAAAATTTCTTCTCAAAACTTGAGGGAAGTTCTTCTCAAAACTTTAGAGAAGTTCATCGCAGAATGTCAAGGAAGTTTTTCCCAAACCTTCAGGAAAGCTCTTTCCAAAATTTCAAAGATGTTCTTCCCAAACCTTTAGGGATGTTCTTTCAAAAACTTCATAAAAGTCCTTCCTAGAACTCCAGATAAGTTTTATCCAGAACTTCAGTGAAATTCTTCTTATAACTTCAGAAATGCTCTTCCTAGAGCTCCTGGGAAGTTCTTTCTAGAATTGCAGTAAAGTTTGTCTAAAAATTTCAGGGACATTTTTGCATGAACTTTAGGGACGTTCTTTCCAAAACTATAGGAAAGTTCTTCCAAGAGCTTTAGCGAAGTCTTCTCCAGAACTTAAGAAAAAAACCTTCCCATTTCTTCATAGATCTTCAGATAAGTTTTTCTCAGAACCCCAGTAAAATCATCCCAGAACTTGAGGGAAGTTTTTCTCAAAACTTCATGGAACATCTTCACAGATCTTTAGAGAACTTCTTCCCTGAACTTCAAGGAAGTTCTTCCAAGATTCTCAAAATAATAATTCCTACAATTTTAGGGGAAAATTTCCCACAATTCCAGGGAAATTCTTCCCAAAACTTGAGAAGAAGTTGTTCCCAGAACTTTAAATAAATTCTTCAGAGAACTTTAAGGGAGTATCTCCCAGAAGTTTTGGAAAAAAAATTCCATAACATCAGGGAAATTCTTCCCAGAACTTAAGGGAAACTCATCCCAGAACTTAACGGAAGATAATCCCAGAACTTGATGGAATTTCTTCGCAAAACTTGAGGGAAGTTCTTCTCAAAACTTTAAAGAAGTTCTTCCCAGAACGTCAAGGAAGTTCTTCCCAGAACTTCAGGAAAGCTCCTACCAAAAAGGGGGATGTTCTTGCCAAAACTTCAAAAAATTCCATCATTGAACTCCAGATAAGTTTTATCCAGAACTTCAGAAATGCTCTTCCCAGAGCTCCAGGGAAGTTCTTTCTAGAACTGCAGTAAAGTTCGTCTAAAAATGTCAGGGACATTTTTGCATGAACTTTAGGGACGTTCTTTCCAAAACTATAGAAAAGTTCTTCCAATAGCTTTAGGGAAGATCTTAAGAAAAAGTCTTGCCATATCTTCATAGATCTTCAGAAAAGTTTTTCTCAGAGCTTCAGTAAAATAGTCCCAAAACTCGAGGGAAGTTTTTCTCAATAACTTCACGGAACATCTTCCCAGATCTTTAGGAACTTCTTCCCTGAACTTCAAGGATGGTCTTCCCAATACTTTTGGGAAGTTCTTCCAAGATCCTCGGAATAACATTTGCTGCAAGTTTTTGGAATAACTTCCCACAATTCCAGGGAAATTCTTCCCAGAACTTAAGGAAATATCTTCCCAGAACTTTAAATAAATTCTTCAAAGAATTTTATGGGAGTATTTCCCAGAAGTTTTGGAAAAAAAATCCATAACATAAGGCAAATTCTTCCCAGAACTTAAGGGAAGCTCATCCTAAAACTTAACGGAAGATAATCCCAGAACTTGAGGGAATTTCTTCTCAAAACATGAGGGAAGTTCTTCTCAAAACATTAGGGAAATTCTTCTCAGAACTTCAGAACCCCAACCAGCACAATGCTGTGGCAGGATCTTGCAGCAACTTGTGACTAAAATAGGTCACATACAAGTTACCTCAACCGTTTGGTACCAAGTGTGCTACTTGGGAGATTTCTTCGCAGACCTTCAGAAAAGTTTCTCACAAAACTTCAGAAAAATTCTTCCCAACATTTTAGAGATGTTCATCCCAGAACTTGAGGGAAATTCATCCCAGAATATGAGGGAAGTTCTTCCCAGAACTTGAGGCAATATCTTCCCAGATCTTGAGGGAAATGCTTCCCAAAACTTGAGAACTCAGAACTCCAGGAAACTTATTCTCAATACTTCAGGGATGAACTTATTTGAAGCTCTGGCAAGTTCATCCATGAACTCTGGAAAAGTTCTTCCATGAACTTCCGATAAGTTATTCCCATAATTTCAGGGAAGTGCTTCACAGAACCTTAGGAAAGTTCCAATAATGTTAGGGAAAAAAGAGTTCCCACAAATTGGGAAAACTTCGATGGAGTTCCCAGAACCACAACTTCTTCGGCATTTACAGGTCTTTTTAAAACTTGAATAAATTCTTCAAAATTTACAGAACAAAAGCAAAAATCATGCTGTCAAAATATCGTGCTCAAAATTAGCCATTGATATTTTGATTCCAAAAAATGCTCAAAATCTCAAAAGAAGAAGAAAATTATTCAAAAGGACATTGTATAAAAAATATGTCGAATGCATCATCCTTCTACAGTGTCTTCTCGTTTTTGACATCACATGATTTTTGTCTTCTTCACTTTCTAGAAAATCCATCCAAAACGGTATGCTTTATGAACAAGTTAGCAACAGTGCCACACTAGTGGCAGAATTCCGAACTAGGTTAATCTCACAAAATGAAGACCCAACTTTGCTGAAGATACATTCCATAATGCATCGCTGATGAGCTTTTATTTGATGCCGCGATTTGGTACTTCTCCAACCCCTGTGCGCCATCTTGTAAGATAATCCCAAACTGAGTGTTAACATCTCATTGGTGCATGTGGTTAAAAGGTCTAATGGACATAAAGTCGAATGGACAAAAGGTCAAAATAGACAAAAGGTTGAATTCACTTTCTCGATTATACTCCTTCTTTAGACCCTGGATAGTTCCTTGGAACGCTGACATTTTGTCCCTGTAAGCATCATTGGACCTTTTGTCCATTCGACCCTTTGTCCATTCGACCTTCTGTCGTTCAATTTCCACTGCGCTTCAATCACTCGTTGCAATTGAAGCCTCCATCGATCAATTTTAGCATGCAATTCATTCGATAAATATTCTCAGCCCGCTGCTAACCACCATTTTCTCCCTTTCCAGCATCCTACGACCGGCTGCTGACCACGTTCGAAATCTCCAAAAAATCCGAACGTCCCTTCGTCACCCTAATCCTGGTCACCCTACTACTGCTGTTGGTGATAATCCTACTTGCCATCTTCTGGCCTCGGCTTCCCAGCTATCTGACCAAGGAAGTCTGTCTGGAAGCGGAATGTTTGGAGGCAAGCAAACAGGTAAGTCCTCCCCCCTCCCCCTCCCATCTCCGCTTCATTCTTCTCTAGGGTCACATCCATGTCGACGGAACCGGATTCAATTTCAAGGTTCAAATGGGAAAGAAACACACCGACAACTGCAGCTGTTTTTTTCCCTACCTGGGTCAACCTACCGGAACACCGGAATGTCGCAGTTCCCATTTTCCCATTTGCCGGTGAAAATATACGCTGATGAATAATGCATTAAAATTCTCACCTCGATCTTGGCTGCTGGAATAGCTACACATCTACAAAGCACACACGAACTGCAAGATTGGGTCCGTTTGATAAGGGAACTTATCGGCATCGTCGTCGTCGTCGTCGTAGTTTCAAATAATGAGAAAGATTTTTCTTGTCCGAAGCATTCCGGCAGCAAATCTACCGAATCTACCACCCGGTTATTTATGTGTGCCATGTTTTTCGGGCGTCGTTTCGATTATATGGCACTCACATGCACCGACCGCGCGCCGGTCGGTGTTTGTGAGAGAGTGAGGAGGCGTAAAAATCTAGGTAAAGGGTAATTGTTTGATTATTCATGACGACAACACGATGCGCTCTCCCTACACACCGGTTTGGTTCGGAGAGTGTAGTCCTCCGGGAAGGCTCTACGGGAATCGTGGGAAACTCGGTCACCAGGGCCACCCACCCACTTGCCCAGGCCAAAGAAGAAAATCGAAATCGAATTTTGCAAACTCCAAGAAGCGAATGTCCCCCCATCCCCTCCCCGCACGCTGTTGCTTTTGGTCTTGTTGCCACTAACCCATAAGGGGGAGATGGGTTCTTTTTTGTAGGTGGAATTCAACATTCAAGCAGCAGCGTCGGTTCTAGGCTAGTGTTCTCTAGGGTCTACTCCGGAAGAGAGAGGGCTTAGTGGTTGATTTCGTGAGATGGTTCCTATTGCATTATGGAAAAAGGTATTTGCGTCAGGACGTCAGGATGGTTCTCAAAGAAAATGCTGTGAATCCTATTAATCTAAAACAGTGGTTTTCAACCTTTTTTGTTCCACTTGATCATTCTTCCTGTAGGCCAATCGATGCCATTATGTTCTAATTTTCGAACAATTCGAAGCTGTTGTTTCTCGGCTTCCCAGGACATAGACTATAATTGTACTACTTACGGATTATAGTTCACCATGGTTAAATTTGATATCTCTGATATGGGCATCGGTTACGGATATTCCGGATTATGGTCCCGTATGGTAAATTTCGTCACCATAAACAAAAATATCTGAGCTAGTTTTACGACGATCATATAGTATGGTTCTATAGATAATGTTCGGAGTCGAACGCCGTGACCCAACATTGCGCAACTACGGTACGCCGGAGTTGTCCAGGACTACGCGCAGAAGCTGGAAGTTGCACTACCCACGGAAGAGCAGCTTGGCCCAGCTCCTCTTGAAGATGACTAGAGGGACATCCGTTCCACCATAGGTAGTACTGCTGCAGCGGCACTAGGTACTGCGATCCCGGACCGAAGAAATGACTGGTTTGACGGTGAATGCAAACTGTTAGTAGAGAAGAAGAATGCTGCAACACCGCACGAGATTGAATGTGGAGCGATACAGACAAGCGCAGAACAGACAAAACTCGGTATTCCGAAGGAAGAAGCGTCAGCAGGAAGACCGAGATCGCGAGGCGATGGAAAATCTGTACCGCGTAAGCGACAAACGGAAGTTCTACGAGAAGCTAAATAATTCGTGCAAAGGCTACGTGCCGAGCCGATATGTGCAAGGACTTGGACGGTAACCTTCTCGCGAACGAGTGTGAGGTGATTGAGAGGTGGAAGCAGTACTTTGACGAGCACCTCAACGGTGATACAGCAGAAAACGAAGGTGGCACGGCAACAGACCTTGGAGCACGCGCAGAAGACGACAGGCTACCGGCCCTTGATCTTCAAGAAGTTGAGGAGGAGATCGGTTGGCTGAAGAACAACAAAGCAACTGGTGTAGATCAACTACCAAGTGAGCTATTAAAATACAGTGGTGAAGCACTGGGTAATTACCAAGATTTGGGAGGAGGAGATATTACCGGAGGGGTGGATGGAAGGTGTCATATGCCCAATCTACAAAAAGGGCGACAAGTTGGATTGCTGCAACTACCGCGCGATCACACTGCTGAGCGCCACCTACAAGGAACTCTCCCAAATTCTATGTCGCCGCCTGTCAATATTTGCAAGAGAGTTCGTGGGGCAATACCAGGTGGGATTCATGAGTGCCCGCGCTACCGGATTTCCAGATAAACTGACGCGATTGGTCAAGGCGACGATGGATCGAGTGATGTGCGTTGTTCGAGTATCAGGGACACTCTCGAGTCCCGTTTAATCTCGAAGGGGGTTACGGCAAGGTGATGGACTTTCGTGTCTGCTATTCAACATCGCGTTAGAAGGTGTGATCAGAAGAGCAGGGATAGACACGAGTGGCGCGATCTTCATGAAGTCCATCCAGCTTCTTGGCTTCGCCGATGACATCGACATCAAGACACGGAACTTTGAGACGATGGCGGGAACGTCCATCAGACTGAAGGCTGAAGCTAGGTGGATTGGACTTGCCATCAACGCATCAAAGACAAAATACATGAAAGGAAGAGGTTCTAGGGAAGTCAATTTTAGCCTCACACCTAGATTTCAGATTGACGGTGGCGAAATCGAGGTGGTCGATGAGTTCGTGTATTTGGGCTCACTGGTGACCGCCGAAAATGATACCCGCAGAAAAATTCAAAGACGCATTATGGCAGGAAATCGTGCCTACTTTGGACTCCGGAGGACACTTCGGTCAAATAAAATTCGCCGCCGCACGAAGTTGACTGTCTACAAGACGCTGATTAGACCGGTGGCCCTCTACGGCCACGAGACCTGGACTTTTGGTGTTTTCGAACGGAAGGTGTTGCGTACCATCTACGGTGGAGTGCAGATGGATGACGGAACGTGGAGGAGGCGAATGAACCACGAATTGCACCAGCTGCTGGAAGAACCATCCATCGTCCACATTGCAAAAATTGAGCGACTACGGTGGGCTGAGCACGTCGTAAGAATGCTGCACGACGACCCAGTGAAAATGGTTCTAGAAAGCGACCCAACAGGAACAAGAAGAAGAGGTGGATCGACCAAGTAGAAGGCGACCTGTGGACGCTTCGCAGACTACGAGGCTGGCGAAGTGTGGCCATGGATTGAGTAGAGGGGAGACGACTTCTTCAGTTCTACGGCAGCCATATGGCTCTAAGGATGTCGTTTTGTGTGCCATTGATCATATATCGTCGAGTAGATGTGATTTGATATGTCGCTTGATATGGTTATGAGAGAAAACAAATTTGAGCACATGGAACCATAATCCGGAATATCCAGAACCGGTTCTACGGTCGCCATATGGCTCTATGGTTATTATTTTGAGTGCCATTGGTCATATTTCATCTAGTAGATGTGATTTGATATGTCACATGATATGGTTATCTCTAATCTGGAACATCTTGAACCAATTCCATGGAAGGCATGTGGTCTTATGATAGTTCTCTATGATTTTTGGAAGTTCTACGAAAAAAAAAAATATGTTGCAATGATAAGTAAGACATATGGTAAAGATTGAAAAATACACCCCCGTGCCAACACATTCTTAAATATATAACAAAGAAAGGAGAGGCTAAGGGGGATAACCACCCAACAGATATAAGAACCGCTCATCTGAACGAAGTTAAAAAATCTCAATTTGATCGGCCTTGGCATTTCCGAGATATAAATTTTTGAAAATGAAAATGGGTATCCATTCAATGTTGAAGTTTAACACTTAATTTATTTGAGTAAGTCTAAGATCTCAAATTATCCAATGTCTTGAAGTTTCGCCAATGGCTGGAACTCTCTTTAATAAAGTAACCTAACCTAACCCATCCCATTACTTCACAACAATTGTAGGAATTACAGAAGTTCTGAGGTCTGGAGGATATTCTGGACCAATGAAAGGAAATGCTGAGAATTTCAGTTAAGCTTCATAAACAAACTTCTGGAACCTTAGTGGAAGCTTTAAGAACCTCAAAATGATTATATTAGCATCCGAAAAGCTGCAGGAACTGTTAAGAAGTTCCTAGAATTTCAGGGAACTTCACCGGGGTCAAGAGATCTTCAGAAATATAGAGAATTTGAGGAAAATTGTGGAATCTCAGCGATCTTAAGGGCAGTTCCCGTAATTTTAGTCCAAACTTTTGGAACAGTTTAAAGATCTATAAGCGGGAGATTAAAAAAAAACCAGGATAGTTCCATGATGTGCTGAAAAAAAACGAGAATCCTTAAGATGCTTCCAGAATTTCAAGGGACTACAGAGACCTTCAGAGAAATTATGAAAAGTTCAGAAATATTTCAGGAACTTCACAGAAGTCCTGGGAATCTATTGTCACCATTTTAAACTAAAGGTGATTACGGGAATTCCATTTATTTCAGAGCAGAACCGAGATCTTCAATAGAATTAAGAGCCGTAGGAAAGCTCCGAGATCATCAAGACAGATATGAAAGGGCAGTTCAAATAATTTCAAGGAAATTGCAGAATCCTTAAAGAAGTGTTGAGAAACATTATGTGTCCGTGAACTAGTTAACAGCGGCGCCGGTGGTGTAGTGGTAAGTGTGATTACCTCTCACCCCAGCAGGCCTGGGTTCAATCCCAGTCGGCGCCGCCTCGATTTTCTGAGGCATAACATCTCTGATCAAAGCCGTTGGTCCCCGGTTCATGAGTTGATGGGTCGATAGGTAGGGTCCAGGTGTGGGAGCTGCCTAGAACTAGTTAACACTTTACAATTCTTAGGCCTGAGATTGGCTAAGGTTCAAAACCCAACTTGGACTTCATTATTTAATTCCCCCGATCCTGATCCGTCCACCACAGTCGCGCCGATCACTTGTTCCAGCCATCGGATTCATTCCGACCCTGTGTGTGGAATTGCGAAAGGGGTCTTCCACACTTCAATACTTAGCAAGTACTCGCAGTAATTCGCTCAGCCCCGTCTCTC